AAAAAAAAAAAAAAAAAAAAAAAATCATGGAAAAATTCAAAAAAAAAGTGATTTTTTTTTTGTTTTTTTGCTTTTTTTTGGGTTTTTTTTTGAAGGAGGCTCCGTGGAATTCATGTGGTTCGTGTCACTCGTGAGGAATAAAAAAACATTTGGACACTTTGGTTGTTATCCCGGCGTGCTGAGGTGATTTTCCAGAATTTTCCGTGGGTTTGGGGTTTCGTTTATCCCGTTTTTCCCAACGTTTTTTGGCCTTCCCGGTGGGAATTCTCCTCCTGCGCTTTCCTACAACACAAAAACAGGAAAACTTTTCATTTTTTCCCCCTATTTCTCCTTCCTTGAATCCCTTTTTATTTTTCTTTTTTGTAGCCGAAGGAATTTGAGGCTGGAAAGGAAAATATTCTGGAATTACCCAAAAATACGGAAACCACTGAGCCGTTTTCCCTCTGTTTTGGGCTCATTTTGTTTCCTTTCCTTCACCTTCCTCCTTTTTTTCCTGTCTCGGGTGGTTTTTTTTGGTGTTTTTCCACCTTTTTTGGGTTTTTCCAGCCCTGAATTCCAGGCGAGGTTTTCCAGGGAATTTTTCCTGCCTTACCCTGGAGCTGCTCCTGATTCCAGAGGATTTGCCTGGCCCTGAGCTCCAAGATGAAGTGATAGAATTTCCCAGAAAGTCCTGGCTCCTCTGGGAGCTGACAGCGAAAAAAAAAAAGTGGGAATTTTATGGAATTTTATGGAATTTTATGGAATTTTATGGAATTTTACGGAATTTTCAGGTGGGCCTCAGCTCTCCCTGCAGCTGCCATTGGCGCGGTTTGATCACAGAGCGGCAGGAGGAGGTGGTGTAGGTGTCGGGGACGCTGTTCCAGGGTTTTCCCATTCCCGGAGCTCCCGGTTTTCCCGTTTTTCCCGTTTTTCCCGTTTTTCCCGTTTTTCCCGTTTTTCCCGTTTTTTCCCGTTTTTCCCATTCCGGTTTTTCCCGTTCCCGGCGATCCCCGGAACCCAGCGCTGCGGGACGCGTTTCCCGCGGACCTCAATCGCCGCTTCCCCCTACCTCAGCGTGGTCGCGCTGATTGACAGTTCGGGCGGCCAATCAGAAATCGGCTACTCCGTCTCAGCCAATGGGAGTGCGCCGTGGGCGGGCGCGTGCGGGGCGGCCGGGCCGGGAGCGAGCCGGGGCCGGCCGTGAGTGGAGNGCTGGTGGCCGTGGCTTTGGGCATCAGCATGGCCAAGGCCTCGCTGCCGCTGAGGGACGCGGCCAAGCTGGCGGTGGCCGTGTGCCTGATGATCCCGCTGGGAATCGGCGTCGGGATGGGCATCGAGAGCAGCCGCAACGCCGCGGGCAGCGTGGCGTCCCTGCTGCTGCAGGGCGTCGCCGGCGGCACCTTCCTCTTCATCACCTTCTTCGAGATCCTGGCCAAGGAGCTGGAGGACAAGAGCCACCGGCTGCTCAAGGTGCTGTGCCTGGTGCTGGGCTACGCCGCGCTGGCCGGGCTGGTGCTCATCCCCTGGTGAGCCGGGAGCCTCGGGAAGCCGAGGGAGCAAAGCTCGCCTCTCCCCTCCCACCGGCGCCGGGAGGAGCCGCCCCTTTCGCCGCTGGAACGGCCGGAGCCGGGCGGTGTTTCCGTGAGGACCTGGAGGAGGAGAAACTCCTCCCGTGTGTTCAGAGTGAGGAATATCCCGAGGGATCGTCCCTGCCCGAGGGACTGCGGGGATTAGCGGACACAGACGTTAAGGATCTGGGTGAAATGTGCTTCCAGGAGCTCCTCCAGTGCCTGTGGCTTCCTGCACTGCCCAGAGCCCACCCCGCTCTCCCTCCTTCCCCTCGGGCCGGGAGCCTGCTGCGGGGGCTCCGAGGAGGTGAGGAACAAGCGGGAATGGAGGCAGAGCAGGTGGGAGCAGGGATTGCCAGGCTGCGCTAAGCTGCTTTCGCTGGCTTAGTTCAGAGCAAAACCTGGTTGTAAGAGCTGCCAAAAATAACATCCCTGTGGGGCTCCAGCCTTCTGGGCCCTGCTGCCTCCACACAGCTTCCAGTGGCCCACCTGGAGCTCGGGGAGCTCAGCTTTCCCAGGGATTCATGGAAGAAACGAGGCCGGGCCCCTCTACCCTGCTTCCTTCTCAGCTTGGTCTCCACAGGCTGAGCGTTCCCTAAGGGAAACCTCTGAGAATCAGGATGAATCCCAGGATGGTTTGGGTTGGGAGGGACCTTAAAGCCCATCCAGTGCCATGGCAGGGACACCTTCCACTATCCCAGATTGCTGCAAACCCTGTCCAGCCTGGCCTTGGACACTTGCAGGGATGGAACAGATCCTTGCGTTATCCAGAGCCTGGGATCCATGAGCTCGCAGCAAACGGGCAGTGGCAATTTCCAGCACTGATATTTTGGGGCACACTCTGGTGTTTTCAGTGCTCTGCAGTCCTGGGGGCTGAGCAGTTCCCATCAGGGGCTGCTCGGAGCTTCTCCAGGTTTCCAAAGGAATGGAATGGCCTCCCTTGGCGGGGAGCGGAGCCGCTGCTGGGAAACACGAGCAGCTCTCAGCAGCCGCAGAGCCCCAGGGAAGCTCCGTGTGCCGCCGATCCCGCCGGATTTACCCTCGGCAGCAAGGAGCTGGGATCAGAGGCTGGAGCTGGGAATGTGCTCCTCCCCAGCCGTGCAACACAGCCTGGCTCAGGCAGGGGCTGCATTTTAATTACCCGGAGCCTTCGCTCCTGCAGCAGCTTCCGCCGGGCTCCTGGAAGCGCTGATGGAATTATAAGGATGGCGCAGTGCCGGCAGCGGGAAGGAGGCTCGGAGCCTCCGCGGTGGCCCAGCTGCAGCATATGGAGGCAGCTGAGCATCATCTGACAGATCCTGGGGCTCGTTAGTTTAATTGCTGCAACATCCCCGAGTCAATTAATCTTCCTTTGAAAACCTGGAGTGGAGAGGGGGGGGCGAGGCGGAGGGAGGTTATTTTGGGCCTGGCATGACACAAACCAGCAGGATGAGAAGAACGTGATTTGCTTCGGCGTGGTAAAGCCTCAGGGCTCTGTCACCTCCCCTGAGGGGTGACCTCTCTCCTGGGGGGGGATGAGGGGGAGAGGTGACACGGTGCTGAGTGTCCCCTGTTGGGCTGTCACCTCCGTTTCGCACCCTCCTGCTGCTGCACTTTGGGATCGGGGAGGGCTGTGAAGCGCCTGGGGGTGCTGAGCTCCCCCATCCTCATCCCGCCGCCTTTGGGAGGGGGTTCATCCACAGGATCATCCCGTGCTCCGGGCTGGAGGAGGAGGAGGAGGAGGCCCTGCTGCTCCCAATAAATTCCCTGCCCTTCTCCCCTCGCTGTCACTCGCTTTTTTT